CGGCTCTCCTGGCTTCTGGGTCATATTCTGAGTAGACTTCTTTCTGGCCGATGGAGGTCATCTGGACGACGAGGGTCCCACCAGGTGATCGTGGTACTTTCTGTTTTCCTGAGTATGTGGGCCCTGGGGTCCAGACCCATATACTCCATCACTATTATATCTTCTTCCTCTTTTTATGCCCTATATACCTCATCTCAATGCATGACATATATATTGTTAGCTAGGTCTGTTATAATAGAAAAGGAAGAAGGTAATGAATTTTTCTCAAACGTTCTCAAGCACTTGAAGGAATTTGTCATACTACCCATCGACGTAATACTCCGTAACATTCAATCAATCTTTTTAATCTTTAGAGCACGTCTAAAAAATACTCCATTCGTTCCTCTAACTTTGTCCCGTTTTACCTATTTCGTCCGTCCCATTAAGTTTGTCTTATAACATATTTGGTAATATTTGAATGGTAACAACTCATTCTTATTTTATTCATACTTTATCGATTCAATATCAACCACACAATTCCATTTTTTCTTAAAAATTATGCCACACCCTCTTGTCCCAAACATAGTGGGACGGAGGTAGTAATATTTAAGAAATGATATCCTAAGAAATGATTCAATGATATCCTAGAAAGCTAGGAATGATGGATCATAATTGAATACAAAATCAATATGTGCACCTTATTCCTTCAAATTGAACTAATAAAATGGATATATAAAGTTTAAGAAAATAAGGTGTAAAGTTCAATTTCCCAAATATGGAGTGTAAGGATGTGTTTACTTGGAATGCTTTCAGTCTCAGACCAGATCAGACTTAAATACACCAGATCAAACCAAAATAGACCAGTTCAGACCAGACGAGACCAAACCAGACTTCCGTAGTTATAAAATAAACAGAAGTCAGATATTTACTAGACCAGCAAATTCCAGTCCAAGTAAAAACATCCTAAAATCAAGTATTTTCTATGTAAATAATTTACTATTTAGCTATGTACATTCTTATGTTTTTTAAGATGATTTAGGCTATGTTTGGCAGAATCAGCTGAAGCCGGAGGCTAATGTCTGAAATAGGAGATATTGTCTGAATCAGAAACTATTGTCTGGAACTGAAATTTTAGGTGCTGAATCTGAACTGCTAACTGAATGAAGTAGACATGTTTGGTAAAAAGAACTAAAAATGGAACTGAACAATATAAAATTACACTAAAGGGCATTTGATATATTAAAATAAAATATATTTTATAATACGTACATTTTATATTTTAATAAATATTAGGGTTGTAAAATTATATATAATCAATTTTAGTTATTTGTAAACTAACTCAATTTATTTACATGTGTGAAACAAATTTTAAGTATTTACTTAAAATTGATCGCAAATAATAATATGTGAGAATATTGGGTACAATCTCTAAATATGAATCCTCTGATTCTTCACTTGCAGTTTGAAATAAATATAATTAAAGAAATTAATTCAAAATTAAATCTTTAATTCTTCAAATATTCGAACGTTCGTCAGATCTTCAAATCTTCGAACTTTCGTTCTTCGTATCTTCAAACCTTCAAAGTTTTGTTCTTTGAATCTTCGAATCTTCGTTCTTTGAATCTTCAAATATTCTTGAATTAAGAATTCAGCTTGAAGGGCCTCCGGTTTTCAAGTGGCTTGATCTTCAACAAAAGGGCCGTTTTATGGCTTGATCTTCTGTTTAAGGGCCTCCCGGGATATGTGGCTTGATCTTCAATTGAATCTTGATTCAATCTTAATATGAATATCTTCAAATCTTCAAAGATTCATTCTTCATATCTTCAAATCTTCAAAGTCTTGTTCTTCAGATCTTCGAATCTTCAAGCTTCGTTATTCAGATCTTCGAACGTTCTTCAACTTTTGGATTTATTTTATTAAGAATCGACGAAATCACGAAGGATTATTCGTATATTCTTAATAAAATTTGTGGCTTGATCTATTCCTCTTTTTCGGAATCGTTTAGAGCCTTTCGGGGAGTTCTTGAGAGCTTTTCTGCAACGTTTCTTCGTCTGAAAAATCCTCCCCTCTTTCCTCTCATCTGAGACCCCTATTTATAGGTGTGGAGGGGATGAAAATATGCTCTAGGGTTTTGGAAATTCGTACATATTCCTTGGGCCTCAAATAAAATGGGTTTTGGGCTCTATTTGCTTGCATTTAATAGCCAGAAAAATCAGCACTTATTCGATGTATCTGGACAGCCCTTTTTAACAAGGTTCATAGCTATTTCTCATGCATATGTACTGATTTCTTGACTAGATTCATCCTCATCTTCATATATTGGATCATGTCTCTTATTTATTGGGCCAATACTTGATAGTGGGCTAAAATTACTAGGACTGGTCCATTCTTTTCGGATAATAAAATTAATTGGATATTCAAATGATCCGAATTAATTAAATTATATGTGAATAGATCCATAATAATAATTTCCCTTGTTTTTAAAGGCCCAACAACCGTTATGAGTAGCCCATTGTACTTGAGTTCGATCCAATAGCTTCTAAAAGAGGCCCAATAAGGTCAATAATAGCTCGATACCATTTGAAGAGGCCAACTGACTATCAGAACCGGCCCAATAATTTTTTAAATGTCCACAAATGCCCCCTCGAGACTTGCTTGGATGTACCGATTTTATCACCACGAACAAGTGAGTCTCGAAAATTAACTTGTTGATCAAAGTTATACCCATTTTGCACAATAAATTTAAATCCGTAGGCAAGGTCAACAAAACTCATGGATTTAAATTCCCATTATTTCTAATAGGCCAAAAAAACATGTGATTGGGCTCAATTTGTTTTAATATACGCACTCCCAATTTTGAATTAAAGTAGGAGAGGCCAATTTATAATACACTCCAAATACAGTTCTTACTCAGACTTTTAAACGGGAGATACTCCGTATTAATCATGCGGCGGAACATACAACAGGAGATTCCAAATTGTTCTCTAACTCGAAGAACCTCTCTTCTATTAGGACTTAATCTGCCTGACTTGAGATCTATCATTGTATAAATATCAACCCAGCTGGCTCTCTTTCGCAACTTTAATTTTTTTTGCGGTAGTTTGCAAAGCTGGATTAAAATCCCAGAAGATATAGAACAACAGGTAAATCTCCCCTCTTCAGCATTCTTTCTTTATCTTGTTGTTTTCTTTCATTGTTTTGCAGGGGATATACCATACAAAAATCTCCGTCGTGGCTTTGAGAAGCCAGATATTGAGATTGCATTCAAAATCCCAGATCAAAAAAAAATAGCAGAGAGAAGATACTGCTGTTGCAGACTTGGCGAGGGGAAAGAGCTCCATTGGCGCTGACATTCTTGTATTCGTGAAGGAGGAGCACAGTTCATCCGACGCTGCAGCGGCGTGGTTGCGTTGAGCTTATGGTTGATTTTCGAAGGAGGCCTGTGCAGCCGGCAGTTAAGCCCGAGGTTGATTTCCGATGGCGAGCAACAGTCTGAGGTTTCAAGGAGATTCTAGTGCTGCGGCTCTTTTCTTCTGATTCCTGCGTGCGAAGTAGATGACGAGATGGTGTCGCTGGTCTAATTTGCTCTGCTGCAGTTTTGGCGAGAGGAATTCAATCGATTTTTTTTTGAAGCTGTTCTCGTGCTTCGTGCGAAGAAGCCAAAAGAAGACCGATTGCCTCCTTTTCTGCGTGCGACGAAGTTGACGGAATGGGGCCAGCTTCTTTTAAATAAATTAGGCTTTTGGGCCTATTTTATGATTTGAGCCTTCCCATGATTCCGGGCAATTCTAAGATCACAACAAGGCCCCTGTTTTCGGCTATTTCAAGTGATGACGCCATTAATTGAAGAGCTATTGTCGGTTATCGGTGCTGCCTGGGGTCCTTCGTTGGGCTAGTGACACTGATTTAAAGAATTAGGTTGATTTCCGACCATCGGTGTTGCTTGGGGCCCTTCGTTGGGTTAGTGGCACTGATCTAAAGATATAGGCCGATTGCCGATCATTGGTGTCACTTGGGGCCCTTCATTGGGCTAGTGGCACCAATCTAGAAACTTCGGCTAGTTGCACTTGTTGAAGACTGAGATGTTGCTGCTACTTTCGACCTTTGTCCATGCTGAAGGAGCTTGACTAATTATTGGCCAGTGTTACTAATTTCTTTGTTCGTCTAGTCGGAAGATGAAATCAATTGCTCGGGCTTGAGATTGATTATCATTGCTGAGCGGCCTGTTTTTTTTCTTTATTATTATTATTACTTTAGTTTTTTTTTAGTAATAATAATAAGAATAATGATGATTTTTTTTTGCAGTCCAAAATGATATCTTTTAAGGACGTAAGGCGTGGAGGTAAAAAGTATCTCTCCATATCAACGAGCAAGAAGAATGACGAAGAGATTCTTTTGGAGATGCACAAGCCATTTGCTCGCGAGTTTTGGGGTCCAACGGTTGTGTCCTATCGAGTTACAAACTGGACTCCTGAGTGCGAGTATCAAGCTCAGACAATGCGGACTTTAGTATTTGGCTTTACTCACATGCCCTCTTCTGAGATTCTTCCTTCTTTGGGTAGACGCATCCTTGATGAAAACGCCCCTTTGACAAAGACCTTATCATTTGGTGGTGAGTTTAGATTCATCACAGGTTATTGGGACTGGGCCGAAGATATTTTGAGCGTGAGTAAAAGCGTTCTGGAGGAAGGTCTTATTTATGATGATGTTTATGCCTCATTATTCACGTATGACCGATGTACTAATGCTATTCAAGCATTTTGTGAGGCATGGTTTCCCATGACGAATACTTTGCTTACGTCACACTTTGGGACTTGCACGTTATCGGAGGATTGCCTATCATAGGAGACGCATATGATGAATCTATTCCGGGCACTTCTGAGTTGTTAAATACGAGCGCTGACTGTTCATTTCATCTATGCAAATATTTGTTTCACGCACATCATCATCTCTTTCCCAGAGCCAGAGATAAGCGTGTTTTGCATGTTCATGCATGGGTCAAATTCTGGTTCAGAAAGGCCTCCAAGTATACTATGCCTCCAGTGAGAACAGAAAAGAAACGAACATCTCGTGCCAAGGCGACCCATAATCCGAGTGGAGCTATTCCAAAATTTGGAGGATGGTCGAATTCTATGAAGGTACCATTCCACATACTCAAGGTTCCTGCTGAATATCAGGAAGAGGTATATTTAGCGGCATTTTTATCATGTTGGCTTTGTGCATTTGTATTGCCGCATGAAGGTCCTAGAGTTATCCGCCCGGAAACATTCAGAGTTGCTTGTATGTTGGCTCGAGGGAAACGTGTATGCCTTGCGGTCCCGGTTCTTGCAAGTGTCTATCATGGGCTTAATCGGATCTCGAATGCTCCAGCTCCTGATCAGGTTAGAACGTGTTTTCCCGTTCACTATGTCTATGGATGGTTGGCATCATACTTTGATACACATTTTAAGAATGAGATCCAGTCCACGACACCATTAATGATTTCTTATTCGGGAGAAAGTGGAGCGAGATCCCTCGAGAAGAGAAGTGCGCGCAAACGAATTTTCCAGGGGGATGTATCAGCATGGGTGTGTTCTACACATCGAAGAATCAAAGAATATTCATTCTTCGATGGTAAAAATCCTCCAGAGGCTGAGTTGGCGCTTTTTAGGAGACTTCGGTCTAATTATCTTGTATTACGCTACCGGGATCATTGCATTGCTGAGCCTTACACTCCTCACCGCTTTAGTCGCCAATTTGGGTATTTTCAGGCTTATGCTTCTGGTTTTCTTGAGATGCGTAATCGGAGTGTCACACTTGCTGCTGGCTTTCAGCTTTGGCTACAGTTTGAGCATGGCATGTCACAAGCTGAAGCGGTATTTCCGACTCCTCCTACTATTCCAGCGGAATTTTATTCATTGCAGTATAAAGAATGGTGGGGTCAAGTTCATGGAAGTTATTTGGAGAATCATGTGAGCGACTTGATCAAGATTTGCGATCTTGCGGTTGGTGATGTGATCACCCCTTCAGATCCTGTGACTCCAATCTCCAAGAAGAAAAAAAATGCCTGATACTGAAGCTAAGTCTTTGCCTCAGAAAAAGGCTAAGCTTGTAGCACCTACGGCTGAAGTTTTGATTAAGGATGCTGAGAAGGAAATGTCTCCTGCCAATGAAAGGCAGAGTAGTGATGAGAGGAACTGGAAGCATTTTAGGAAACCTCATGTTGGGCCACTGAAGGTTAGTTTCATCATTTCATAGTTTTATTTAAAGCGTGTACTTATATTTTTTTTCTTTTGCAGATTCATGCAGTCCTTGATGATGCTAGTTCCTCGAATCATGTTTCTTCATCTAGCTCAAGTGAAGGAGAAAGCGCAGATCATGACACCGTCGCTGGATTGATAGCAGAAACCGGCCCAAGTCATTGCAAAGAAGTTCCGATCCATGAAATACCCAAGTCTTCTCATGTGAAACCGGTTGTATCTGTATTCCATGCAGAAGACTGCTTCTTTACTTTGTATAAGCAGTTCATCATTAATACTTGGAGTGGCATTCAACAAAAGTTAGGACGGGCTACAGCAGAGAACGTCTCATCTCTTCGGGAGAGTGTTGAGAATTGTGTTATCTTGATGGAGAAGGAGGGCATTGACCTTTCCATGTTGAAGACGAGAGTGAAGCATTTCTTTGAAAGGGCACAAGCATTTGATCAGACGTGCTCGACTGTTGTTGATAGGGTTCCTTCTGAGAAACAATCTCAGGAATTGGCTATGTCGCAGGCTTTTTGTGAAGATATTGAAGCTAAGAGATCTCAAAACCAAGTGGCATTACTTGATGATGAGAAATCTCTTAATGATATCAAGAAGAAGATAGCCTTATTGGAAGCTGAAGCTAAGGAAGTAGAAGTTTCGATCTCCAAGCGTCGTGTAGAGGCTTGTGACTTAGACACAGCTCTTACGAAGGCTAAGGAGGAATCTTCACGGATTTTGAAGACTATCAAAGCATCAGATGAGGATCAATTTGCTTTAAATACTCAGAAGAAGGAGCTAGAGGCCTTGAAGGATGACTTAGTTAGCTTTAAATTGTTTTTAGGCTGATACTTAGCTTTTAGATTAGCTTTTAGTCAGCAAACAACTCTTTTCCTTACTTCTTACCAAACTATATATGGATATTTGCTTCCTTTGTTGCTTCTCATGAGTTGATATTGTCTTGTTTCTTCTTCTGTTTTGTCTTTCTTTTTTTTTTTCAAAGTGACTGAGATCAAACTCTATTGAGGGTTTGTGTTGTTATAACTGAACTCAAAAATGAAACTTTTGAGCTGCCTACGTACTCCTATGAAGGAGATCAAGTCAAACGTAGTTCACAAGTACCATTTGAATTGGTAATCTAAAGGAGGGGACCGTACACAATTTTAACTCATGCGGGCCAGGAGCTTACCGTACATATTTTAAACTCTCGTGGGCCAAGAGCTTGCCGTACACATTTTAAACTCTCGTGGGCCAAGAGTATCTATGATTATGCTCACCCATAGACAAAGTGAGATGTTTTAGCAGTTTAGCCACTTACAACATCATTGGTGGTTTAAGCCATTCAACATTTCTTATGGCCATATCTATAACCCAAATATCAAGGGTAGTAGAGCTTTAAAAATCTTCCATTGATCGGGCCAATCTTTGAGCCATCTCCATCGACCAACTTGTAGGCACTGCCTGAATATACTTCTTGAATAACATAAGAACCATCCCATTTAGGTGAGAATTTGTTCCCCGTTTTTCATGTGATAATGATAGGTCTTCTCACAGCTAGAACTTTATCGCCAACTTGGAATGAGCGAATTCTAACCCTTTTGTTGAATGATTTCGATAGACGAGCCTGATAGCATTCTAGGTTCTGCTGAGCTTCTAACCTCTTTTCATCAAGTGCCTCCAGTTCTGTCAACTGCAACTTGACGTTTTCTTCATCAGTGAGTCCTTCTTGAATAGCCAATCTCAAAGATGGTATTTGGCGCTCAAGGGGAAGGACTGCTTCGGTACCATACACCAAAGAATATGGAGTGCTTTGAGTAGGTGTTCGATAAGTCGTTCTATATGCCCATAATGCTTCTTCCATTCTTTCATGCCAATCCCTCTTTGATTTTGACACTACTTTCTTCAACAGGTTGCATAGAGTCTTGTTAAAAGCTTCAGCGAGGCCATTGGCGGCAGCATAGTACATAGAGGACTTCCGTTGCTTGAAATCAAATAACTTGCATATCTTGTCCATCAACTTGTTGTCAAAAGATTTCCCATTGTCCGTCAAGATATATCGGGGAATACCAAAGCGGTAGATGATATGAACTCGGATGAAATCAACAACATTTTCCTTCTTCACCTCTTTCAATGCAATTGCTTCGGCCCATTTTGAGAAGTAATCAGTGGCGGCTAGTATGTATGAATGCCCTCCTGATGAGTTAGGCGTGATTGGCCCAACCACATCAAGTCTCCAAGCGTCAAATGGCCATGATGCTACTGTTGGATGCAAAGGCTCCGGTGCTTGATGGATGAAATTTGCGTGGTATTGGCATTCTTGACATCTTCTAGCATAGTCCATGCAATCCTTTACCATGGTCGGCCAATAATATCCCATCCTTTTGATATGAAAGTGCAGCTTAGGACCAGACTGATGAGCTCCACATACTCCTGAATGTGCTTATTCCATTGCTTGTAAGACTTCATCTCCACCCAAACACCTAAGGAATACACCATCGAATGATCTTCGATAAAGTGTATCTTTATAGTAAATGAAACGCGGTGAACGCCTCTTCAAGTCTACTTTCTTGCGGGGATTTTCAGGTAATTTCCCATCAGTGAGATAATCAATGAGCGGCTGCCTCCAATCTTCATTTTCAATATCATAAACCGAGGTAGTTGGCATCTCGACTATCTCTTCGGCTGCACCATCGTCTCCAATGAATGGAGGAATTACCCATTTTTGACATACCTGTACTTGAGTTCCATCGTCAAGGTGTGCCATGTTCGATGCTAACCCTGCTAGTGCATCGGCTTGCTTGTTTTCCTTTCTTGGGACGTGTTCAATTGTAACTTCACCCATCCATCCTATGAGTGCCCTTGCATATTTGTTGTAAGGATGCAGTTCAGGTTTCCTTACTTCATAAATTCCAAGCACTTGATTGATGATTAGTTTTGAATCGCCATAGATATTAACTCGTATTTGCTTCATGTCTACAGCTATTTCAAGTCCGAGAATGAGTGCTTGATATTCAGCGACGTTATTGGAGCATTGTTCCGTAAGCGTGAAAGCATATGACAGAACTTGACCTTCGGGTGTAACAAAGACCACACCAGCTCCAGCACCTTCTCTGTGTGCAGCTCCATCAAAATACATCTTCCATGGAGGCAAAACTTCAATTATGAGCACATCTTCATCAGGTAGATCATCAGAAAGTTCCCACTCAGCAGGGATAGGGTGATCGGCTAGGAAATCTGCCAAAGCTTGTCCTTTTACAGATTTTTGTGAGACATAAACAATCTCAAACTGTTGAAATATCAAGTACCACCTAGCAAGACGATCAGATAGAACCACTTTGGACATCACATACTTCAGCGGATTTGCTCTGAAGACAAGATTTATCGTGTGAGCTTCAAAGTAGTGTTTAAGCTTCTTAATTGCAAATATAAGGGCCAAACACAATTTCTCAATGGGCAAGTACTTCAACTCGTGTGGGGTCATCATTCTGCTTAAATAATAAAGGGCATTCTCCTTCCCTTTATCATTTTCTTGAGCTAATAGAGCTCCCACAGACCTTTCTTGAGCAGCAATGTAAAGTATCAAGGGGCGGCCAGAGATAGGTGCATTTAGGACCGGTGGTTTCATTAAATAAGCCTTGATATTTTCAAACGCATTCTTACACGTTTGGTCCCATATGAAAGGCACACCCTTCTTCATAATTCGACTAAATGGTTGACATCTTCCAGATAAGTTCGAGATGAACCTCCGTATGTAAGCCAATTTTCCTTGCAAACTCTTCAACTCATGAATATTTCGAGGCTCCGACATATTCACAATAGCGTCGATCTTGGCTTGTTCTATCTCAATGCCTTTGTGACGGACAATAAACCCCAAGAATTTCCCGGCCGAAACTCCGAAAGCACACTTCAGAGGGTTCATTTTGAGATCAAACTTCTTCAAACGATCAAATACTACTCTTAAGTGTGATAGATGATCGCCCCGAGCTTTTGACTTCACCACGAGGTCGTCAACATAGCACTCCACGATTTTGTGAAGGATATCATCAAATATTGCCTGCATAGCTCGTTGATAAGTAGCTCCTGCATTCCTAAGTCCAAATGGCATGACCGTGTAGCAATAGATCCCCTTAGGAGTTCGGAAGGCATTCAATTCTTCATCTGCAAGAGCCATCCGGATCTGATTATAACCAGAGAAACCATCCATAAAAGACATAATTTCATGCCCAGTCACAGCATCTATCATTAACTCAATGATTGGAAGTGGAAAATCATCATTTGGACAAGCAAGGTTAAGATCCCGAAAATCAACACATATTCGGATTTGTCCATTTTTCTTTCTGACCGGGACAATGTTGGATATCCAAGTAGGATATTTCACTTCTCGAATGAATCCGGCCTCAATAAGTTTATCAACCTCTGCTTCAATTAATGGAATTAAATCTGGGCGGAAGCACCTTTGAGCTTGCTTTACTGGTCGACATCCTTTCTTTATCGCTAAGTGATGAACAACGATTTTTGGATCCAACCCCGGCATTTCTTTGTATGTCCATGCAAAGACATCCTTGTATTCTTTGAGTAAGGCCACATATTCTTCTTTTTCTTCGCTCGATAGAAGAACACTGATATAAATGGGACGGGGGTCCTCTTCGATGCCAAGATTTACCTCCTTTAGTTAATCCAAGGCTGTTCGCACTCCTTCTTCAAATTCCGGAGGAGCTTCATCAGCATCTTCACCTTCGACCGGGATTTCATCACCAAGGGTAATATGGTAAGATGAGGCAATGTATTCCTCGTCATCAATCAGTTCATCATATTTGAACTTATTGTTTGCCGACATTCGAGTATGAATAATTGTTTTCAACTGTACTTTGAGAGTTTCTCCACATGAGACTTGCACATCAGTTTCTCGCCTCATTCGGGATGGAATCAAGCTTCTATATTCATTCAAAACTTGTGTTTTTGTATATTTGTTGAGAGACTTTGTAACACCCCCAAATTTCCCGCCCAAAAACAATGATATATTTAAAAGAAATACTTTATTCATTCATGAAAGAGTTAAAGAAATACAGCGGAAGTCTAAAATAGGGAAATGGGTGTTACCGCCACATCCGGTCATCTCTCAACCGGATGCACAGGCAACTAGAACATAACAACTAATTTAATAAAAATAAAGTGTTTGTAAAGTAAATGTTTATTTCATGAATAGTATAACTAAGGCGACTTCTAATTCGCTCTCGGGCCATGCAAGCAATCATCAATCGACAAAATCATCCTCACCTGCACAAATAAAGTGCAGAAACAAAACAAGGAAAAGAAAACAAAAATTAGCTTTAGAGCTAAGTAAGTACTACCCAACCCCGTAAAATAATCATGTTTGACAAAAATAGAATTTTTATATAATATATAAAAATACTCACACCATCGAAATTCTTTTCACTTTGATGTTTATCAAGACTACTTCTTTACAAAAATCCTCAACTTCTCTATAAAACTTCATAATAACTCTTCTCTTTGATTTCCTCAAAAATCACTTCTTCTCTAACTTCCTAGTAATTTAGAAGGGCGGTGCTCAACCTTTCGGTAGAGCCCGGTGGACCGTGGTTACGGACGGCCACCCCGAACAAGTGCCGGTACCACAACTGCTCTGTTGGAAACGGAACGACTACCTTAAGTGTGCACACCCCCTAAAAGGGATTCCAAGCCCTCCGAGTAGTAAGTCATAACGAGTAGTCGGGACTCAGTCTACCAACTACCCCTGAATAAGATATTTTGAATGACTAGGGACTACTACTACCATAACTTCTTCTTAAAAGGGATCATCGATCCAAATATCACTTTAAACTCAAACTGTACTTCTTAGTAGTGGTAGACCTAATCACCCTCCACATTTATCCGGACGTGGAAAACCGACACCACGGATTTCTCCCGTGATGCTCACCTCTTATAAAACTGTAAATTTTATCTTCAATAAATAATACTTCAAAAATACTTCTCAATTTCTCTAAAAAGTCTTGAAGGTATTTGAAAATATTAAATACCCCAAAAGTACTTAATTTATATTTCTCAACTACCATATATATAATATCTCTTCAAAAATCACATACACAAAATTCAACAATTCATACTTATTCACATAATGCATAATAAGCATATAATACGAGGAAACAATTTTAGATTGGCAGAGAAACTTACCTCTAGTCCGGGTGCTCCTAATTCTCTTCTTCTACTCCGGTCTCTAAATAATCACCTTTTTTAATTAAGATGATATAATTAGTCACTTATTTTATTTGTAATTATTTT